AAAGAGAGAGAGAGAGAGAGAGAGAGAGAGAGAGAGAGAGAGAGAGAGAAAGAGAGAAAGTTTCCACTTGCCTCTTCTACGTCTCCGTTGTCTAATTTGATTCAATCAGACATTATGTTTCAATCAGAGCCTTAGGTGTTGATGTAGCAGCCGACCGCTTGGCTGTCACATGCAGGTGACCCCAGTTTGATTCCCGAGTTGGGGGGGGGGGGGATTTTTATCCAGTATCTTGGTTTTTCTGCTGGGATGTAGTATCCTTCTCATTCTGGGCCGGCCCTGACAGATGGGGCTGGAAAACGGCCTCCTAATCCTAAATGATCTACATTGTGTCGATGTGGCTGTCAAAACCGTAAGGCCTACCGTATATTTAATTTTAATGAAAAAAACCCAAAGTGGTAGATGTGTGAATGACCCTCCCTACTGCACTTCCCTAATCCGAATTGTGCCAGTGGAGGTACCGTTTTGATCAGACACAATGAGGACTCTGTGAATCAACAGTTGTGCTGACTACGTAGGTCCAAAAGTTATTACAGTGTATCAACTCGACTGGAGACAGAACACGACATAACTCATGTAACACTAACACTGGTGATGATATTTGTTGGTAGAGATGAACTTAGTGTGCCGAATGACGACGCCTTATTATTCACCCACCCCCCCTTTTTTTTCTCTTTCCCCCTCCCCACAGAGGCTGCCCAGCTGACGAACGGCGAGCGTGTGATCCGGCGCAACAAGAGCGCAGTGACCACGGCCACCCAGACCCTCCACGGCAGCTCCTCCTCCCTCCACAGCCAGCTCAGCCTGGAGGAGGTAGATGAGCTGGCCCAGGACAATGACGTAATGAAGAGGCGAGGGGCGTTCTCCCCGGACGTCAGGGGCGAGCTCCCGGACACGGAACAGAACGACAATGCCCGCCCCTTGGACGACAACAACAGGGACTCGGAAATTACCTACTCCACAAAGCACGGAGTAGCCGGTTACGTGAACCCAGGTTTCAAAGCTGACACTGAAGAGCACCGAACACAGTCCACGGACACGTTTGACTTCAACAAACCAAGCAAAAAAGTGGATTCTAAAGGCAATAGTAATAACAATAACAACAACAACAAGATTAAAAGTGTAATGTTCAAGGAGGAAGTGGCTCCGCAGGTATTTTCCAAATCAGCTGAGCCAGAAATGATGAAGGAAGTGGAGGCTGTAGCGAGAGCTAATGCTGCTACGACGTGCGGTTCAAACGACGGGGAGAAAGAGCCCATCCCCAGTCCCCGCAGCGCTTTCTTGCTTCGGCCTGATACGCCTTATTTACAACCACCAAACAAGTCAAAAAACCCAAGCTCTGTGGCGCCCTTGTCTCCAAGAAATAACAACGCCGTCTCAGCGATCAAGATCAAGTCTCCGCGCAGCCAAAAAGCGGAGGAGGTCATCAACGAAAAAATCGTGAAGCGCCAGAGGAAGATCGGTGAGCTTCTCAAAGATTTGGTCATGTCGTCATCAACAACGACCGCTGAAGCTGAAAGTGAAAACGGCGGCACCCAGGAGAGAGCCATGTCCCCCGAGCTGGACCAAGAGGACGGGGAGTCGGAGGACGTGTCTCAGCCTGTGCCAACACACGGGCCCAACAGACCGGCTCCCGTCTTCCCCCCAGGATCGACCGTCTCTAAAAAAGTGAAGCAGACCCCCGTCAAAGGCTGGAACGGGGAGAGCGAGACCGTCTTCCCTTACACAACAGATCTCATCAACTTCCCGGCGCTGTCTCCCGAGGTGACGGAAGCGGCCCTAGAGAAATTCGGTGCCAAAAAGAAAAAGAACAAAGGGAAGAGCGTGAAGGCCAAGGACATGCTGTTCGTGCCGCGGCTCAACATCAGCACGGTAGAGCAGGACAGGAACTGTTTCTCCGACCAGGACATCGCGGATAGCGACATCACAGACCTGGAGACGGAGCCAGAGAACGCCGTGTCCGACACAGAGGGAATCACCTCCTCCCGCCTCCTGCCCGTCGGCCTGACCAGCGTGGCCCGGACAACTTCCTCCACCTCTGTTGAGAGCGAAGCCGGAGTAGTCAGAAACTTCATCACCACCAATAATAACAACAGCAGTGACCTCGACACCGACCTCGAGATCACAGACTGCGACGTGGAAGAATCCCCCAGCGAGGTCCCTAAGAAGCCCAAATTTCCCGGAATTCTGCCCGGGGCTAGAGCGGCACAGGAGTTGCGTGGCTCGTCCGCCAAAAGTCGCAGCGCTCACGCCCGAGACTACATCCCGCCGTCGGCGCAGGCGCGGAGGAGGGGCGGGAACCAGAACGACTCGCGGCGCCGGTACCTGGCCCTCAACAGCCTGAGGAGGAAGGCGTACAAACTGTCGCTGGCACAGACAGAGGAGCCACGGGGAGCCAGCCGGCCACAGTCAGCGGAACTGCTCTCCTACCACTCCCGGGCTCACGCCGTCACGGTCATGTCGCAAGTCTGACACACTCACGGACACACAGGGACCAAACTGTGAAATGTGTTGTTGGGGGGTGCTCAACTTTATTACTCACTTTTACTTTTACTCTGGGAGTGGGGGCAGCGCTTTGTAAATTGAGAAAAAGTATTTTATGTTTCAAAATTTATAGTGAAGCAGACCCCTTGAAGGAGGAAAAGAACAAGACCGAGCGTCCATCCACCATGAGTTCAGTGTGAAGGTTACACAGTATGGTACGGGAAGTGCCAAGAGTACCACGTGTCCACAGCTTGACTGCTTTTTGAGACTCGATTCTTGAACCACTGGGGAGAAGGGAACTGTCTTGTTTGTGGTTTGACTAGTGGGGACTTTCCCGAACGCGCGATTGATCTGTTACTTTACAAAATAAGATGAAGTAATCCATTTGCTCGGAAACCAGTCCACATTATCTGCAACCAAAGTAGTTTGAATCTCAGGGAGGTTTTAAGAATTGATGTGGATATTTTTTCCTATCTCACAATGTTCATCGACATCAAAGTCAGACAAAAAAGTTGCTCTTTCAGACGCTTTTCTGAAGGAAAAAAACCCGGTCAGAACCAGTTTGAAATACATTTATATATATGTAACCGAGAAGGGTTTCTCTCTCTTCCTAGTCTACTTCAACTAGTGGAAAAAAAGGGTTTAAGAAACTCTCACAGAGTACTGGCCAGGCCAGGAAGAGAACATGAGCGTTACCCATGGAGGTTATGGCGCTGCCCCACCTTTACTTACTGATAAGGTTTGCAACTGCGATTCGGCCTCCAACAAAGTGCATGAACCTTTCACTCGTATATCATAGTATCTACATGTGTACTTACTTACTTTACTTCATCCGTCCTCTTGTACCTCAAGGGCGACGAGGGTAGACAGAGCTTTTGGTCTCAAGCAAGATTGATGGCCTGTCTGTGTGGAATGTTGTATGCTTTCAGGGTATCCTTCACACCCTCGATCCAGGTCTTTACATCATTATCATATATACATATATATATATATATATATATATATATATATATATATATATATATATATATATATATGTATATATATAAGTTTGTTTGTTTGTTTAGTATAGGGTTTTACGGCGCTCGCAACTGCATAAGGTCATATGAGCGCGCGGGACACACCTAATACTTTTTCGTTGGTAGGAAATTTTGAATTTTGCCCGGGTGGCGGCCGAAGCCTACTCTTATCGATTTTAGACCACCAAGGGATCTTTAACGTGCGCAACTTGCACACGGCCCTCCGAGATTTTTCGCCCTTTTCCGAGAAGGCTAGGTGTAGATCTTTCCTACCAGAAGACCAGGGGTGTGGCAAAAAGACAGCAGTTAGGAGAAGCCAAGGAGTAGCAGTAGAAAGGCTGCAGAAAGAGTCAGGAGCCCAGAGGAGGGGGCAAAGGAGGTGAGGGGGTGGGGGCAGAAAGTGGAAATGAAAGCAGACAACAGAACATTGTTAGAGATCAGGAAAGGATGTGAAAGGAGACAATTTTAGAGAAGAAAATTTTTTGGTCGCTACCCGGAATCGAACCCGGGACCTTTGAATGAGAGGCCAACACCTTAACCTCTAGGCCACGAGAGCCCCCCCTATATATATATATACATGTACTCATCATGAGAGTGGGCCCATCAAACGGAGGACTGAGACCGACAAACCTGGACAGATCTAGTGCTTCCGAGTTTTCCCGCAAGATCTCAAAAAAGGGGGCGGTGGTGTAATTTTGTAATTTAAATTATTGTCAATTACTGTCAGTACGGTATGTTGTTAATGTTTGACTGTAAAAAAATGGTAGCCTGCACTGAATGATCGCCAAGAAGTTGAGAGAGATTGTTTCTGAAAGTTACATTGTCAAAACAAATCTTTTGCTATTTTCTAAAATTCTAATTCTAAACACTACATAGTAGCCTACAGATTCTACTTCTAATCACCACGCTATCAAATAATGTATTTTTTCCCCATCAATCTGCATTAGATTTTCATAATGCTCTTTGACTTTATTTTACAGAAATAAAAAGAACTGTTTTGAGAAATACCGTATACTGTTGTTAAACATAGATCTAGTATTGTATTATGTGTTATATTATAGGGCTTACATGACATGAGTACGCCTAAGTAGTAAGTGGCAGTACATGTAGTAGCAGCAGCAGAAGTAAATGATCCACGCTTCGACTACTTCAAGGCTGCTGTTGTTTGTTTGTTTGGGTTGTTGTTTTTATGAGGGCGAGGGTAATTTTCAAAAAGCATCAACCTTGGTCCATAGTGACCTTGAAAAGAGTGATCATTGATACATGATGCACAACATGGGATTCTGGAATCTGTTAACAAGATTGAGTAATCAGGCACTGGTATTATGTTGTTCATTAAGCTGTCCCCGTGGTTTTATGCACCCCGCATAATTTGATCATTTTCCGCATAATTTTCGATTATTTTCCTTAATCATTTTTAAAAAATTAACAGAATCGCACAATTTCACATTTTTGGGCTCAGTTTGCTTAATTTCAGAATTTTTCTTGCACAAAACGATGGGGACAGATTAAGAATCAGCACATCATGTAGGCCCATACTATAAGAATGAACCATGCGGCATCTGCTAGCCAAGGAAGATATTATACCATTGTTTTGTTTTCGCAAGCGTTTTAATTTACAGGGCTCCCTATTACATAAGATCATAGGAGCGCGCGGGACACATTAAACATTACATATCAAATCAGTTTGGTAGGAATTAATTTTGAATTTTGCCCAGGTGGTGGCCGAAGCCTACCCTTACCGATTTTGGACCCCCAAGGGATTAAATGTGCGCAACTTGCGCATGGGACCTCCGAGATGTTTCGCTCTTTTCTGAGAAGACTAGATCTAGGTGTGCAAGAACTAACCCTAAGATCAAGGGTGTGGCTGAAAGATAGCAGTAGTGAGCCAAGGAGCAGTAGGCAGTAGCAGAAAGTGGAAACGAAAGCAGACGACAGAACAAGCTTGAGCAGGAAAAGGGGTGAAAGGAGGAATTTTTAGAGAAGAAAATTTTCCGTCGCTGTAAGTAAGTTTTCGAACCCAGGACCTATAGAATGAGAGGCAAACACCGTAACCTCTAGACCACAAGAGCACCCCCCCCCCCCCCCTCACAACATTATATCGCTGGCAACCTATTAAAATTAAGGGTGACCTTATTTAGGCCACATATGGCCTAAATAAGGTAAACCCCCCTCCCTTACCTTATTTAGGCCTCACCTGTGGCCTAAATAAGCTAAACCCCCCTCCCTTACCTTATTTAGGCCACACCTTTATACAAAGTCACAGAAATATTCCTTTTGTGCTTATTGAGGTACAGTGCAGGGTGATTTTACCTGCAAGGATAATTGGACAAAATGGGCAACATCTTTATTGCTAATGGTCATATTTAGACAAATCCTATATCATTGTCTTTTTTTTTCTTAACTGCTCATGGTTATTAAAGAGTAAGCCAACTAGGTAGTAATTTCGGATTCCTAATACTAATATTATGGGCATTCTTAAAATTTTTAAACTTGTTTTTACCGCTTTTCTCAACGTAAAACGGATTCCGTAAAAAAACAAAACAACAATGACCTTATCTTTCTTTTTCAAAGTATTGTGCATATATATGTGTGAAACTATATATTCTATGCTTTCATGTACATGAAAAAAGCTAATAAAGGCAAGCAAAATGTTCTTCAGATACATAGATCTAGTAGTAGGCCCACTGGAATCTTTTTATAAACCGGGAAAGATGACCAGAAAATAACACAATTATTTTATGATCTTCACTTGCACTTGCAATTTTTTGGACAAATTATAGTCTACCTCATTGTCTTTTTTTCCCCGCAATTTTCTTCACTATTCATGACAACTGGCATATATTGTTTTCAGTTATTATTAAAAAAGTGGATAGACGGACTACGGGGTCTATCTAGCCAAAAGGATAGGTGGACCCCGGGGTCTACCTAACAAAATGCTAGGTTTTAGGATGTGAACCCCGGAGTCAGCGTAGTGAAATAAGTAGTAGATCTAGGTTTAACTAAGGATCGGTGGACCCCGGGGTCAACATAGTGAAATAAGTAGATCTCAGTTTATTTTATAGTAGGACTGGTGGAGCCCGTGGTCAACGTAGCGAAATTATAAGTAGATATAGGTTTAATTAAGGATTGGTGGACCCCGGGGTCAACGTAGTGAAATCAGTAGATCTAGGTTTAATTAAGGATTGGTGGACCCTGGGGTCAATGTAGTGAAATAAGTACATGTAGATCTAGGTTTAATTTTAAGGATTGGTGGACCCTGGAGTCAACGTATTGAAATAAGTAGGTTTAAGGTGGACCCCAGGGTCTACCTAACGAAATACTAGTTAGGTTTTTAGAATAGGTGGAACCTGCGGTCACCGTAGTAAAATAAGTAGGTTTAATCAAGGTGTCCCGGGGGTCCACCAATCCTTAATTAAACCTTCTTATTCCTCTGCGGTTATGGTGACTTCGGGGTCCACCAATCCTTTTAAAATTAACCTTACTTATTTCACTACGCTGACCCCGGGGTCCACCAATCTTTAAAGAAACCTACTTGTTTCACTACGGTGACCCCGGGGTTCACCTGTCTTAAAACCTAGTATTTCGCTAGGTAGACCACCTTAAACCTGCTTATTTATCACTACGTTGACCCCGGGGTCCACCAATCCTTACTTAAACCAAACCTTATTTCACTATGGTGACTCCGGGGTTTTTATCCTAAAACCTAGTATTTCGCTCTGAGTCCACCTATCCTCTACAGGACTAAACTATTATCAATTTGCAATTTTCATTGATTAACATATTTTTTTTAAAATATTGAATCAGAGACTCGCTGTCTAAAAAGTCCACTGCTAATGCTATTCTTTTCAAAGAAAATGGCACAATTTGATTTTATGACATGTTGAAAAAAAGAGTTTTAAAAATATCCCGAAATCAACATAAAATGATTATAGATCTCTCTCTCTCTCTCTCTCTCTCTCTCTATATATATATATATATATATACATGTGTGTGTGTGTGTGTGTGTGTGTGTGTGTGTGTGTGTGTGTGTGTGTGTGTGTGTGCTTGTGTGTGTGTATTTTATTATAATGCATACTAAAAGACTGAGAGGAGGCTTACAATGTAGATCTAAATTCTGTGCTCTACAAGTAGAGAAAATATTAAGTTTGCACAAAACAGATTTTAGAAAAAAAAGTTGGATCTAATTATTCTAATACAAGTAAAAGTGATTGTTATGCTGAGATTTGTTATTATTGACTCTAGAAATACAGTTACTTGCTGAATCTAAAAGTAACTAGAACTGTGCAATTCGTTTTATTTCAATTCCAAAGCCCAAAGGCATAGCAATAATAAGTTAGATCTAGATCTAGCAGTTGTAGGCTCTCTGGCTGCTTCTAGCATAGGCCTGCTACTACTGATTCTAGACAGGGAATCTAGATCTTGCTATCGCCTGCACTATTAAAGTCAAATATATGGAAAAATAAAAACAAAACTGAATTTTTTTCAGTCAGTACATCTCAATTGCCATAGCCGCACGTATTAATAGTTGAATAATGCGATACCGCAGCAACACGTTATCACAGTGTGCAGGGGAGAGCGAGGTGCCCGGTCGATTCGGTGGTTCGGCTTTTGTAGATCTATGCATTTTTTACGGAAAGCCCTATTACCTAACCCTCTTACTAGATCTATTAGTGTTGTGAAAACTTCAACCTCTACAGATCAGGCGTCAAAAGATGCTGGAAAATAATAATACGTCCTGAAGTTTCATAATTTATTTTTATACAGAATAACACAGTACACAGCCAGTAGTTTTTATTTCATCGAGTTATAAAAATGGCCTTCGTATAAAAATTGCCTTGTTTTCAGAAGCAAATTTTAATAGTTCTAGTTCTACCAAATCGATTTTCACGCGAATTCAACCATTTTGATGATCTTTCTTTTCCTTTTAAAAAGATGTAGATCTAGGCCTGTCGGATGTGGCAGTGCGAATAACACTGAGTTGTTTAAATCTAGACCCATCAAAACACGAGGCTCCGTGGCCGATCACAAAAGTCTACGGGGCTTATCGAGGCTGATTCGCCCTGAGCACGTTCACTAAACTGCCTACTAGATAGAATCTACTACCAAATATTCTCTACACGATCTTTGCTACTACTACTACTAGGCCTACTAGCCTACATGTACTACTACGAGACAGTACGAGAGAGTGTCACTCAGGCAAAGATAGTGTAACTTTGACTCAGCCACGTAGTGTACACTCTTTTTATACCCCAAATTTAACCCGGAAGTCCATTCGGAGGATTTGACCTTTTCACTTGACCAAAGTGTGCCAAAATGGTAGCCTAGCTTTTGCCCCTCCATGAAGGAAAAATCTGGCCCTCATTCAAACCATTGGGATTGAGCAAAATTTTGCGTATTGTGCTTTGTTCTTTACAATATTCATTATGGTTATGATTTATAAGTTGTACACTGAGACAAAACCGTACTAAATGAGAAAGGTGCACCATTATGAAAGTGGAACGAACTCAGTTGCCTGAAAAGGGTAGTTTGAGCATGTGTGGCCTAAATAAGCTAAACCCCCCTCCCTTACCTTATTTAGGCCATATGTGGCCTAAATAAGCACTCCCTAAAATTAAAGGGCTGTAATCTTACACCTTTTTGACCCTCCCCCCTTTCTTACACTTTTCTTACATTTCCCCCCCCCCCCCCCCCCCCCAACAGTAATCGCCATGCCAAATATTAGGCTTCTATCTTGATGAGTGTTGATGATTGACAAAATATAAAATGGGTTTTAAAAATGCTGAATCAATCCTTTATTTTTGATGGCTCGGGATTGTTATGGCTAAAATCTTGAATTTTTGCTTGGTAACCTTTTTTTGTACTATGTCACCCCCTTTGATGCAGAAAAGCAAACATTAGACCAAAATATATAGCATTTGGGTGTTGACCATAGCTACACCCCATTAACAAAGAAGGAAAGAGACGGGACTACAGTGAGGTGTTGACTGTAAGCAAGAGTTGACTTTATCAGGATTCCACTGTATCTCTGTTATTTCTACTGATCATTTATGCTGAAAAAAAAGTGAAATTAGTTATCATCAACAAATGCAGAGTTCATCATTATGTCAAAGACATTTTTTCACCTCACAAAAGTGTAATATTACATAAGTTCAAGACTCCCCCTCCCCCAGGCGTAAGATTATATTTGAATGGCCCCCTATGATAAGCCCAGAAAGCAGAATTTTTCAGGAGAGTGAAAAAAAAAAGTTCATTCTCCTCAAATACATATTGTACTCGTACCCCAGCATGACATGTGGACTGTTTATGGTACGGTAAAAGACTGCCATAATATGCCAGTTTGATTAGTGACCTGTGACGACACTTACACTGAGCAGTCCATGTAGGCCTATATGTTTTTGGTTTTTCCCCACGATTTTTATCAACTGAATTTCAAGCATACGCAGTTGAGTGATGCAGCCAATGCCGCAGATTTCTTTTTAAAAATCCATAATTTTGAGCTTTGTGACTTGGAAGTTGGTACCGGTATACGTGAACAGCTAATCGACGACATGCAGTAGGCCTACATCCACGCCACAGGGCCTGTCTTCTTTGCTTCTACAACTCCGAACTGTTCCCTCTGTTGGGAAGTCTTTTCTGGGGGAGGGGGGGGGGAATCTCCTCTTGGATTAAGCTTTGTGGCCTCGAAAACAGGAGACTACACTACAGGACTAACTTCAACACATGATTTTCTGTGCCTCAATCAAATTGCCTTGGACAAACAATCAAAAAGACGTTTGACTCCTTGGTGTTGAAGAGAGAGAGAGAGAGAGAGAGAGAGAGAGAGAGAGAGAGAGAGAGAGAGAGAGAGAGAGAGAGAGAGAGAAAGAGAGAGAGAGAGAGAGAGAAAGACAGAGAGAGAGAGTTTAGATAAAGATTGGAAGGGGGGGGGGGTGTAAGTACTGTAAGTGTAAGGAGGTAAATCTGTAGTGTTGGGGACAGATAGGATTCTACTGCAAAGACAATAGGCCTACGTGACGGCACGTTCATTGAGTACATGTAGTAGATTCATATTGAGCCAGCATCTCTTTTTCATAAAAGCAAACAGTTACAAGTAGTAGCAGTAGTAATGTAGGGCTACAGAACTGACAGCACAGGAAATTTGTGAGACTCCATTTGTCTTCTTGTTTGTTTGTTTTTTGTAGAGGTATTACGGCACTCGCAACTGCATAAGGTCATATGAGCGCCAGAAGATTAGAGGTGTTACGAGAGAGTAACAAACATAAAAAAGAAGGGGAGATAAGGACGATAGATGTTTAATTGGAAAGAAGGAGCAAACCACACCAGAGCACCCGCCAACCACTCACCCCACTGCGACTGTCTACAGGACATGTTCACAGGTGAAGTTCAAAGAAATACTGAGTGCCAACATGACTCGATACAGTAATGAATGAGAAATAGAGGTGTTTCAAATTCATTGTCATGTAAAAATAATGGCTCGATCCCACCACAGTCGTCAGTAGAGAAAGCTTGTAGTTGATGTCTCTGCTGTCTAGAATCACGGTACGCCAACAGGAGACGTGTTCACACAACGTTCATGAAGTAAAACAGTTCAAAATGAGGACAGTGATTGTTGTATCACCGGCATGTATGTGACATGAACAATAAGTGAGGCCTTCCAATAAAGCCAGTTACTTCTCACAATCAGCAAGTGGGGACATCGATTGAGAATATAACCGTGGGTCCAATTTGAAGATTTTGAACTGATGCCATTTTCTTCAAGTTTAACATGTCTTTTATCATATCGTTTCCATTTCCATAGGGCCTAAATCCAAGAAGTAACTCATTTTGCCCGCTCGCATAACATTTGTTTACTGGTGGGTGTAAATAGATACATGTACTCCTGTATTGCTACTTACGTAGTTGTCCTTGCAAAAGCAACATACTTTTTTGTTACAACCACATGACATGATGAGAGTAAAAGATTTCACTGGAATTGCCCACAAAATATGATGATGATAGGCCTATTGCCATGAAGGCAGGGGCTCATTGTCATCTCAGAGACTACCACAGTTCTTCACACCATTCTGGAACAAGTGATGTATCTATTAAAAAGATTATGAGAATGAATCTCTACAACTCTACATAGTGTTGCAGCTATGGAGGAGCTTTTTTGCAAATTTGTGTTTTTTTAATTCAAGAGAAGCACTCATTGAACATAAGTTCATAAGTGAAAAAAAAAAAACAACTAAGAAAAGTAATATCAACGACAAATGTCCTGATTTTGAACAGATCCACATAAATGCAATCTTCCTTCGAAAGCATCTTTGTCTTCATGATATAAATTTTAAATAAACCTTCTTGGTGATTTTTGGCAGATATGACCATATTTTCAATTGGTACAAAATAAAAGCTCTTATGAGACATTTTCTTCCAATACCTGGCCAATCCATGAGTTTAATAATCCAAAGTAGATTTCCATTTAATAGGGTATCGTAGTTCAGCAATGCATGGCACTAAAGAACCAATTAAAAATGTCTGTGTAATTCCTTGACCTACTGAAATAAAGGGATGAGTAAACATAGCCCTTCATTACTCAAAGAGATTTGTGCCACTCTATGGTCACACTTCCAATAGAAATCTTGTCATTAACCTGGACAGTAGGATGGTATGAAACAGCTGAGAGTTGAGAGACCTGTTTTTCCTTTAGTTTTTTGTGCTCTTACAAAACTTCTTGCTGTAAACTCAACAAGATTTGAACTTTTGAATCACTGGAAAAATCAATCCAGTTTGCTCTCCTTGAGCAAAATAATAATAATAATAATAAAATGTTAAACTACTGTACATGCATCGACAGAATGGCACAGACATCAAACATCCATGTCATAATTTAAAAAAAATAAATCTTAAACAAAATCAAGAGAAGTCAATTAAAAAAGAAAAAGAAAAACAATCAAAGAAAACAAAAGATTCCAGTAAAAATGTTTATTACGTCAACGTTTTAAATTACATGGCTCACATTCACATACACCTACCATCTCATGTACTTAAAGTAGTACGCTGCACCCATTTCAGAATGTACTAAATTTAATTGCATGCCAAACATTGAATATTGAACTAAAAACAACTTTTCACACTGGTGAAAGCAAACTTTTCAGCAATTCATGGGAGTAATTTCATTTACTAATTTAGTAGTAATAATAATGACTATGATATATACGAAGATGTGCATTCGCCATACTCGGGACTTGTTAACCATTCCCCAAAACTTTCATCATTCTGACACAATCACTCTGTACATCACCACATATCACAAAACCCTTGTGTCAAGCAGACATCTAAGGTCAGCAATTAACTGATGTTGAATGTCTGAAGCAACTGCAGACAATTGCCATCTTGGTTGAACATGGTTACGCTGGAATTTACTTAAGTCAACTGACAACACACCAAAAATTCATGGCTCATCGAGTCCAGTGATCCACTGCTTCATCAACTGAGCAGCTTAACCTTAACAACTTCCGAAAAATTGCAGGAAAAATGCAAATGAAGAATGCAAACGAAACCAAAGTCAACTTTTCAACAAAAAACTAATTGCCCTTACAGTTGCACATAGGGGGTGGCGTGTGCAGTTTTATACATCCAGTCTTCCATAGCTGAAAGTAGAGGCAGAGAGTATCCTATCAATTTGGTGAGATGGCAGAAAAGAAACCCAAAGAATCAATGGTCAACTTTCTAAACTACAACTGTTGGTAATGTCTATTTGGCCTTGCTGTTCACCATGGGTGGTGATGAATGGAAGTATATACATCCGCTTTTCCACAGCTGGGAATAGAATTAAAAACAAGTGTTAGTGGCATGAAACAAAATAACAATAAATAATATACAACTAAATGTAACCAATTAAACACTTTCATAAAGAGTCCATATTTCCACTTTCCCTTATTTTGTTCCTATTTTTTTGGAGAACAGGGGTATGATTCCACAACTAACATTCTAGGACAATCATTGCTTTGTGTGGCTTTAAACTTTTACTGTCATTTTGCACTCAAAATTCCTTATTCCTCATGAGGGAATATCCCACACCAAGAAAAAAAGAATTTGGAGCATGTGTGTGTTTCATTGGGGCATGCCCCAATTGCCCCCCTGTACTTTCCCATAATTTGATGCTTTGCAAAATCAAGGTTAAGAATTTCTTGAAAACTTTTATGGAGTTGCATAAAATCTTGTTACAACCCAGTCTCACTATTGCCCAAATCAAGGAATTTCATAAAACATAATCGAACCAAAAGGAAAGAAAGCTTTGGCAAGAGCTTGGAACATCTTTCAACGAAGCACCGTTTGTGACTCTAAACTGTAGGTGGTTCATTCCTCAACCAGTCTCATGGTCATGTATACAAAGCCATAAATTTACACTCAATTAAACCCTTCACCAGCCCCTGACCTAAACCTAAAATCTTTCCCCATACTGACACACTGATACATATTCACCATCATCACTAAACAATTTATCACTAACATGTGAGACCCCAAATACAAAAAAATCATCAAGGTCACTGTCCATCTGATTCTAATACTTAATACTTCAAACAAAGTTTTGGGGGTTTGGGACAGAACATGACAGCCTCTGACACACATCAGCCATTTTTTAAACACTAACACCCATGTTGTAACTCAAATGGTGCTCTTGTTGGAACAATGAGAGATACAACAACGTAATTATGGCCATTCGGCCCAAGGAAAAAGCAAGACAGACAGACATAAATCACAGTGGGAAAGAAAATAGGTAGGACCTGCCAGTGGTGTCCTCCAACCACTAACGCAAATGGAGGAAAGACCACAGTACTCTCATGTTCATCGGAAAAACATATAGCGCAGTCTATCTCCGTTTTATACCGCCTACCTTGTGACGAGCATGGAGTTGGCGGTCAAAAAGATATTCATGTCCTGTTAAATATACATGTAGCACCAAACAGCCCAACGTCAAAGGAACTTGTTTACCAATCATTAGATGAAGTAATGAGTTACCTCCCTTCAATATACCAAAGCCTGCATGTTATTAGGCTGATACAGTAGTTTCCGCCTCAAATCCCGGTGCTCGGGAGCTAGGAAAATGCGGGATCTTAGGCGCATCGGGAACTTACATGAATGGCCCGTCGGAAAGAATCCATAGCAACTCATGGTCATCCCCAAAAATCTGTACAATGATCTTCCCTTACTTTAAAATGAACTGACGTAATACGTGACTCCTGGGCACTAAAAGTTCTTTTCAGAAGTCAATTTTTCCTTTTTAGTTTGGGGGGGTTAAAAAAAAATTGTGTTAAGTGGGAACCTGCAGGCTTCAAACAATCTCCTCCACTCCCCCACCTAAAATTTATTGTTTTCCATCTCTAATTGAGTTCCCCGCCCATGTCATGAAGCACCATAAATCGCTGTGCTGCTGTGACCAAACTGACTAATTTAAAAAAAAAAAAAATGCAAGGCGGGTTCACTGCCAACAGATGACCACATTACGCAAAGGGGATCGGACAGTTTACGAGTATGGGCGCCAGCCTGTCAAGTAAGTTCGAGAGCGAAACTGAAAGACGAAAGGCAACGTAGAGAAAACGTAAGCGTCCAAGAGTTCACAGTTTGATAGAATGCAGTCTGATGCTTGCTTGTAGGCCCTCCTCACCTATTGTGTGATGTAAGATCAGGCGATCAGGGAAAGCAAAGCACCGACGAGTTCCCACCTTGGTGCGATCCCGTCTAGGGCAAACATTGTAACCATTTATATCGAGATTTACAACAGAGATGTGATCGCATTCACGGGAGTGAATGATCACTGATGCGACATTTTCGCTACTTGCTGAGAGCGCCCAGGTTTTTTATTGTTTTTTTTTCCCTTAAATAAAGAAAAAATAACTATATTATGACCTGGAAAGCGAGATCTTAGCCGAACGTAGCTCCTTCAGAGCCGGATCTGAAAGATGATTTTATATATATACTAAAAATTCTGTTTTTCAAAAAACAGCGGGATCTTAGGCCAACCGTAACTGGAGGGACCTTAGGTGGAGACTACTATATTTGGCGACGTCAGACATATATTGCCGGTGGGTCGAGGTGGCAAGGTTCCTTTACATTTTCTCCAGGCAACTTGAAAATTTAATTCCATTTTTTGAAAAATATTGACCAAGGCCTAAAAATAACTGCATTGTCATAATCAGCGCATCAATTTTAGATGTTCACGCGGGGAGCGAAATTTGATGCTGAATTACAAAGTTATGTTTTATTTTAATTATACAGTTTTCTACATTACACATTGTATTGTGTTTGCTTGTGACACACTACATCACTATAATGTGACTTATAGATCTATTCATATTGCCCGAAATCTAAAAGACAAGGGGAGGAAGTGGATGGGCGAAGACGGAGCAAAAATGGGTTTAAAAAAAAAGCGTTAGATATAGGCCAAGCTCGGCGAGAGTGAAAGAATCTCAAGTAACCACCGAGTGCATGTGCCGTACGCCATGTGTAGCCAAGTGTATCCGGTGTACTTCTGGCGGCCAGTTCGTTGGCAGTACAACAGGGTAAATTTACAGTTGTTTAACAAAGACCGTACGACTGAGACAGTTAGCAGATGGCTGTGTAAAGAGGCAAATACAATGTTCATATCGGAAATTCTTTTCATACATTTGCAAAACCTGGCGATACACAAGGCTGGAGGTGCAATGAGGTCCAACTGTACTTTTGTTTGCTGGGAGAAGTCAAAAGTCAATTTAAGTGTTTAAATACTTGTCCCCATGGAATCTGCTACCCCCAAAACACACACAGAAATTAATAAACTAGCCTTTACTCTCCATGTATGAAAATATATATCTTGCAAAGACCTAATTTGCAACTTGCTTGAATTAGTAAGGGCTTTTAACTTCCCTTTTCTTTAACTGTGAATGCTCTGCAAAGGAAGCCCTCTGCCAGAGCATGAACTGTGCTGACAGACTTGGCCCAACACCTATCCAAAGGGACAACTTTCCCAGAGCACAAATGAAACGAATTACACTCAGAAACTTTAAAAAATACCCTTGTTATCCGCTGACCATGGGTGCACTATCACAATCACAACAAGACTTTGCCCTAATGAAATGTGAGAATCAAACCTCTAGGTAACCATTTCCATTGAAAAGGCGCTTAAAAAAGATCTCTGTAATTATAATCTTAACCTGGGTGGGAATACACTAGGCTGAAAAATGATGGTGCTTACCACAGTGAATGTTCCAATCAGAGACACCAGACCAGTGGCCAAAAAGAGGTTCCACGTGGAGTTCCTCTTGTTGTAGTTCTCCTGCCAGGATCCCTCGGGCACAGGCATGAAGTTCATGTGGTTTCTTTGTTCCTCACACACTTGTCTCTGTGGCTTCCAGTGGGCTGGGACACCATGGCCTCCCATGGCTCTCACATGCTGAAGACCTGGGAGAAGGAAGAATATGGATATTGGTATATAGACTAATTATAACAATGTTGTGACTTACATATCTGCAAAGAGCAAAGGCCTACCTCAGAGAGACACACCTTCACCTGCTGGGGGGCTACATGAATCTCACCTATTTATGAAAAAAGTCCGTCTAAAAGAAAATCATTGGCATCATTATATAGTTGCAAAAGCCTAAACATCTATTAAAAAGGGCTGTAAAGTAAAATCCCCAGGGCATCATGTATTCTTCTCTCCACAAGTCTTCACCTGCATGTCAAAACAGCTTAACTTCCCATCAGCTGCCTGACAGTTTGCACACATATCAGATTTCCTTTTCTGAGCTTCTCATTGTACTTTCTAAGACGCCATAACTTTCACATCCATAATTCGGGTCAAAACTGATATATAATGAACAATTTTATTTTATTTGGCAAGTGTTTTACAGCGCTCGCAACTGCATAGAGGTCACGACTGCGCCGGACACTTAAACATTTTCAGTTAGTGGGAAATTTTGCATTTTCCCCCGGGTAGTGACCGAAGCCTACTCTTAAATCTATTTTAGACCACCAAGGGATCTTTAACGTGCGCATCTTGCATACACAGGACCTTCGATATTTGTTGCACTTATCCGAGAAGGCAAGGTGTAGATCTTTCCTACCACTACTATCAAAAGATCAGGTTTGTGGCTGAAATACAGCGGTAAGAAAGAGCCAAAGAGTCAGAGTAGCGGTAGAAATGTTGCAGAGTCAGAAGCTCTGAGGAGGGGGCAAAGGAGGTGAAGGGGTGGGGGCAGAAAGTGGAGAAAAAAGCAAACGACAGAACATTGCTACACAGCGGGGAAAGGAGGTGAAAAGAGACAATTTTAGACAAGAAAATGTTTTCATCGCTACCCTAATTCAAAGCCTAGGACCTTTGAATGAGAGGCGAACACCTTAACCTATCAGTTGGGGAGTGGCAAACAGTACAAGAGCTATCCATGATTTTGTTTTCCATGTTCATCTTAATTCTGTGTCCCACTATAATAATCTACGGGTCCTCACAATTATAGATCTAGATCTAGCCTAGTTTTAAGAACATTAATAAGGCTCACCTCACACTCACACCGGGATGGGGGTAAGAATAGCGGGTCATGAGCTATTCTCACTAGGCGTGAGAATATAGGTGTGGCCAAAAATAAATCCCTAGGGAAGTGTCTACGTTCTCCAACGAATAAAAAAAGTAACAATATTAAGCCTGTAGGGCCCTATTTCAACTTCCGGATAAAAGGCTAGGCTAATTTTCAATTTTTCTTTTTCAATTTGGTTTACATTATGTTGTGTCGATAGATCTACATCAAATAGGTCCGCCAGTCCACTCATTATGATTGAATTGAGTCATTTTACGCACTAGATAGACATGTCGTAGACCTGGCATTGATATGACTGACTTGACCTTGACCCACGTGATTTAATTTCATGACAGTGATGTCACACCACACACCAAATCGGCAATGTTTTTCCACACATGTGAAATTGGTATCATTTATCTCACGTTGTATCACATAGGCCTACCTTGGCTTTGTGGTGGGAATACGAAATTGCATGTAAACTGCAAGCTATCTTCTAAAAATACTATTAATTACAGACAGCCTAATCTTCAGTGACTTATTCAAAGATTTAGGGGGGGGGGGGGGGGGGGGGTGCGCATCAGAGTGCACCTTCCTTGGGTGAAAAGTGTAGGCCTACAACATATTATTATGAGGGTGTGTGTGTGTGTGTGTGTGTGTGTGTGTGTGTGTGTGTGTGTGGTGTCATCTCGGTGGAATGATAGAAGGTGTTGGTTGCTTGTTAGTGGTTTAACGTCGCTGTAAAGGCAAGATGCGGTACTGTAGACAGCTTTACTTTCGCGAGCATTTTAATTTCGCGAAAGTAAACTTAATAAAGCTTGTGAAAATAAAGTGTACGAACTGTGGAAGCAGTAATGTCGACCCGTTTCCATGTTAGATAGAGCGAGCAAGCTATTTTTAGGTTCTCTACTAACAGAGAACGTAGACAACTTGTATTATACTTTCTCTAACGTTAGAGAGCGTAGACACTACCTTATTAAAGTATTAGGCTGCGGTTATTGGTACAATAGTGTGCACAACTCTAACTAGTTATTAGTACAATTGTACCAATAACCAGACAGTTATTCGTACAAGCAAATTTTGGAGGTTGTTGATAAAATAAAAATAACTAGTCATCCAGTTGGTTTACCCCTGGGTTGAGTATCAATATTATTTAACTCTAACCAGGCCTAAACAGAAAAGTAGAGAGAGAGAGAGAGAGAGAGAGAGAGAGAGAGAGAGAGAGAGAGAGAGAGAGAGAGAGAGAGAGAGAGAGAGAGAGAGAGAGAGAGAGAGAGAGAGAGAGAGAGAGAGAGAGAGACAGAGACAGAGAGAGAAAGGGGGGGGGGGGGGAGAGAACAGAGGGAAGTGCTAGCAAATATCACATGCCCAAGTTTACAGGAGGGAAAGAGAGAGCCCCCTAGAGCTAAAAAAAATGAGACTACACCTTCCTGGAGCGTTTCACGTGACCTCTTATCGAGTTCTATGCCAAGTTGTAGTGCGGGTTTCTGGATCGTGTGTGTGTGTGTGCACGCGCTGTGAAGACTGAAAAAAATTGAGTTTTCTCTGCATGTGCAAAATGAATAATTTTAAGCCAAAAGTAGACTCAAATTTTGTGATTATTATGTGCAGCGCCTTTTAACCTGAGGAGGTCGCAATGCTTATTATAATGCTAGATGTGTATGATGACATGGAAGTGGATGAGTCTTCAGATGGAGAGAATGTGGAGGAAGAGCAGTCTTGTTGTGGATGTAAGAATAAGTATCAGTATACATGAAAGATGGTTGCAGTGTGATGAATGTCATGGATGGTGGCATGTGGACTGTGTGAAAGTTGGAAAGATCAGAGGAATGAGTGATGATGAAGAGTAGGAAAGAGTGAAATTTAGTTGTGAAAATTGCTGTTTGATTTGTTCCACTAAGTATTTGCTCCCCATAAATTAAACTAATTTAGATTCTAGAATTAAAGTTGCCTTGCTTTTCTTCTAAAGTGACTTGTCTTCTTGTGTGGTCATTTAATGCACAAATGTTACCAGGTTTCTCTTCTGTTGGCTTTCAACTTGTAAATTAGGATGCACGCACAGAGAAGACATGCACGCACAGTAAAGAGAACACCCAAGGTTGGAAAAACTGTTGGGCAGACAGCGTTTTAAGAAATGTGGCAACTATGAGAAAGAGCATTTTATAGGTCAATATTTTCTTGAATGGAATAGCTAAAACGGAGAGCTAAAAACGAAAACTTCCGTTGCTAGAAATGGCGGAAAATAGGTCCAAAGATCGAGAAGTGCACGCGAACGGGAGACACCACTCTAGATCTAGACGTGTTTTTTTTTTTTTTAATGGGGGGACACCATCATTATCATAAAGGCAGCTGGCATCAAATCGGTAGAGGAGCTAATAAGACTGAACACGCAGGCCTGTGGGCCGGAGTGTCTACATACACGGAAACCAGTAACCAGGCACGTAGTCTCAGTGTCACGTAAACGGTAACCGGGCAGTTCAGAACTCCAAGTTTAGTCGCTTAGACAGATTACGGCCACCTCTCTTCTCACCCCGGGTGGGCGTTCACCTTTATAGCCTAGGCCAACCACTGAACCACAGAATTCTACACTGTGATAACAGAATTATAGAATTCTGTGCTGTGAACAAACGTTCTAGATCTATTACTACTGTTAGTGTTAGCCTAAAAGCGTGAAATTTTGTCTGTGGGCAGTGGAGAGAGAGAAAGAGAGAGAGGAGTAGCGCGAGAACTTCCGGGCAAAACAAAATGGCGACCCGCGTAGTTCGGCTCGATTCGGAAAGTTAAACAGCCGTAGCATCTTTGTTGACAACCAAATTAATTTAATTTTGTTTTTTAACTTTGTTTTGGTCAATTTGATCGTCTACACCGATAGACAGTATTCAGAAAGAGACAGAGAGAGAGAGAGAGAGAGAGGGGAGGAGTAGATCTTGCGAGAACTTCCGGGCAAAACAAAATGGCGACCCGCGTAGTTCCGCTCGATTCGAAAAGTGAAATAGCCATAGCATCTTTGAAGACGATCAAATTAGCTTACTTAAATTTTGTGCTATAACGTATTTTTTTCTTGGCTTTTATCAATTTGATCATCCACACCGATAGACAGTATTCCAAAAGGCCACCTGTATTCTCACCCCGGGTGAGAATAGTGCAGGCTAGTCTTTTGGCTATTCTCACCCGGTGCGCGTTCACCGCTATAGCCTAGATCTAGGCCAACAAATTTTGCGTTCACCCTAAACCACAGAATTCTACACTGTGATAACAGAAAAATTGTAGAATTCTGTGCCGTGAACAAACGTTCCATTACTACTGTTAGCCTACTAAAAGTGTACAATTTTGTCTGTGGGCAGTGGAGAGAGAGAGAGAGAGAGAGAGAAGAGTAGCGCGAGAACTTCCGGGCAAAACAAAATGGCGACTCGCGTAGTTCTGCTCGATTCGAAAAGTTAAATAGCCGTAGCATCTTTGTAGACGACCAAATTAATTTACTTTTGTGTGTTTTAACACCATTTTTTAACTTTGTTTTAGTCAATTTTATCGTCCACACCGATAGACAGTATTCAGAAAGAGATAGAGAGAGAGAAGAGGGGAGGAGTAGAACTTGCGAGAACTACCGGGCAAAACAAAATGGCGACCCCCGTAGTTCGGCTAGATTCGAAAAGTGAAATAGCCATAGCATCTTTGTAGTCGATAAAATTAGCTTAAACTTTTGTGCTATAACGTATTCTTTTCTTTGCCTTTATCCATTTGATCATCCACATCGATAGAAAGTATTCCGAAATTAGGAAAAGGAAGTGGCTGTTCTCACCCGGGGTGAGAATAGAAATACGATCCACCTCTCACCCGGTGTGAAACAAGACCTGTTTTTCCTCATTCTGGAATACTGTCTATCGGTGTGGA